TTAGGCTGATTTTAGGGCCAACATTGGTAGACATTTTTTTTTTTTATAATTCTTTTTTTTTGGGGGGGGGTAGAGGTTTTTGCTATAGAGCATGTGCACTCGCCAGACAGAGACGGAAAGACAGAAAGCGAGAAATCACCCCCCAGGGGGGATGGCCACGCCACAATTCCTTCTCCTCCATTCTCCTCTCGGGATCTTGGGCACGCACGCACACGCGCCCGGCGTGAGTTTTAAACCACCCGGTCTGGGACATGAATCACGGTCGACTACGTGGGAGTCCAGCGACATAGCCATTATGCTAACTGCTGGTTCCCAACAGTGGTAGACATTTTAAGGAGCTTTTGTTTTGTTTTGTTTTTTGTTTTGTTTAACCCCTGATAGGGGTTAAAAAGTGGGGATAGTAAAAAAAAAAAAACAAAACAAAAAAACAAAAATAGTGGGGGTAGCTCATTTTGGTCTTGGTATATAATTCACAATCTACTTAGCCAAACAAACAATTGAGTATGACATTATGGCACAGGGCAATAAATGAGGGGGAGTATAGTGTGCCATGCACATACATAGGAAGATTATTTACTCCAGTCTTGGGGGTCAGGGTGGTGAGGAATCATTGAGCATTACCTTCATTGTTACACTAGGGATCTAGCCCTATGTCAGAGTACTGTATTTCTAGAGTCTAAGACCACGAGGCCAACCATTTTCACATCCAAGACATCATTTCTGAGGTGTCCTGCACCTCTTTTGCATAGTCTAGGATCTTACAGGCTATTCCGTCTATACTTCTAATGTAAGGAGGTGTATTTCCGGTCAAACCAGCCAAAGCAGGCTTTTCGTTTAGTGAACAGACATCTGGGTGTCTATTTGGCAGGAGGCACTGTGAACTGCATGTAGTGGGCTTCTGCTATTTGCTGCCAGCATTCTCTCTTAGTCTCTGTCTCTCTTTCTCTTTGCGTATAAAATTTCTGCCCCTCCAACAATTGATACTCACTTTATAGTTTATGATATTAATTTGAGAACAATAAGAAACTTGCTTAAGTGCTTAAGATCGCTTGGCAAGTAAATAATAGACTACAAATCAATCTTATTTTACAGGGCTTGCTCTCTGGACTACAGTGCACTTCTGTAAAACCTAATTCAAAACCTATATATATATATTTTTTTTCTCATTTTGGTCTTATGGGTCCTTACTTCATAGTTTGCAGATAGCACCACCGGACAAGTTGTTCTGTGCTCTGAAGAGGAACAAAGCCTACAGTAGGGAGATCTCCGAGGCAGATGGTGTTCTGCGTGGACGCCTTTCTGGTGCCCCTCTCTTTGCTGTCTGTGGCTTTTGTGGACTGAGAGAAGCAGTAGAAAGCATGCTTAGCTGGGCTGGGTGACTAGGGTACCAGTCTGCATGTGACAATCTTGGGCAACCCACTTTAATTTTGAGCCTTTGTTTTCTCAGCTGTAATATGAGCAAAAGCTCTCTTTTAACTCTGAATCTCCTACTGGGATTCTTACGGGGTGAAGGGAGGAGGGTAGTGCATGTTATGGTGTGTGTGTGCATGAGAGCATGCATGCACATGTGCACATGTGTGCGTGGGAGAAAGGAACTGAATTTGTTACAACATTGCAAGCAGAGAAAACCTGAGCTATTGACAGGACCTTGTCTACCTGTGAGTTGGGCTCAGTCTTCAGGGCAGCACAAGTTAGGTTTGGTGCCCATCTTCTGTCTTCGACTCTATTTTGTTTCTAGATTTCAGTGAAAATTATTTTAATTTTAGAAACCTTTAAAAATGGCCACATTTTGAAGGGCGTGTGTAATTGAATTTGGAGAATAAAAGAAGCTACAGACATTTTGTTTATCCCAGAATGTGAAAGTAGGGAGCACTTTCTTATGCTAATTTATATTTATTAATATAAAGTAGTTCATCTCTTCTCTCGTAAGTCAGGATTATCATTTTTGTTTAGAATAGAGGGATAAAAGGTGGATCCAACCCAAACATATACACAATTGCATATTTCTTTTTTGAGAGATTTTTGCTATAGGGAGTGTGTACTCACCAGAAAGAAAGAGAGACAGAAAGTGAGAAATAACCTCTCAGGAAGGATGACCAGGCCACAATCCCTTTTCCTCTGTTCTCCTCTCAGGATTGTGGGCACGCATGCACTTGGGCCTGGAGTCAGTTTTAAGCCCCCAGGTCTGTGACTCAAACCGTGTCAGTCACTTGGACTTGAGACATGGGAGTCTGGTGA